GGCGCCGGCAGAGGAGCAGGAGGGCCTGGAAATGAGCGTGGGGAACCGCGGGAGGGCACGGCGCTGGGGGAACTTCACTGCAGCTTTGTTCCTAGCAAACTTATGAAAAAGAGCCCGTGCATTTATCAGCTACGAAAAAAAAAACCCAAGAAATATAATTAATTATCACCTAAAACTACCAGGGTTTGGGAGGTGACAGTCCTCCATGATCGTTAGAAATCCCTTGTTTCACTTAGCTCAATTCAGTTTGTTTTAGTAGTCTATATTTAAACATACACACTTGTACTTCAGTAAGACATAGGGACACAAAAAAGCTGCACTAAGTTGAGCTACTGCACTGCTGCTGAAGCTGGAGTAAGTCTAGATCGAATATAAGTGACCTCCAACACGATAGTTCAAATACAATGATAATACACAAAAGCTTTCAAGGGGGCAAGACACCCAGTTACTACATGTGTTTCCACATAGAAGAAGTTAGATAGAGAAGAGCTTCCGGAAGCTCTTGCCAGGATCTTTTTGCTCAGTTGGTCTCATAAATAATTGAGACCTGCGGCTTCTAAGTATATAATGCATACTTATTTACTACATATTCTTGATAGGTTGCAGGTATTCACTACCATCACAAGACAGGGAAAATCTTTCAGGACTTTTCCTCTTTCTGTAAGTAACAGACTCAAAGGGGAAAAAAATGATTCTTTTCTTAAAAATCAGTTTCTCTTTCCATCGCTTTGCCATGCCATCCAGCAGATGGTGTCTGAGTGACAGATATATTTGCTGTTCTGCACTCATTCCACCAAGATCAAAATTACTGCCACTCCATCTGCCATATCTTCTGCCACTTAACTCATCTCTGTTTCATGCAACTGCACTTAGATATAAGATAAAGAACATGTTTTTATGCGAACATCAGCAACTTTGTGGCAACTAAAACTTCTTAAAAAGAAAATGGGTACGCAACGTCTACTCTTCCCACCTCTTCTTGACAGTGGTATAGAGGGGAAAATGGAAAATGGTTCAAAATTTCAAGATGATGTATGTTCAGAATAAAACTCACAGATTAAGCTTCTTTGTACACTTCAAGGCAGTATCAACCATACAATGTGAACTTTCTTTGAAAGGGTTTTCATGCATTCTGTCAATAAATTGACTGAAAACGAATCGGCATAGAGCAGAACTCGTTGCATCCTGGTTCTGGGTACTGCACAGACCCTGCCACAGGACACATTCCCCAGTTCAGGACTGAGATCCAAATCAATTTTCCTTTGAAGTCAAGAGCATCATGCAAGTGAGGTCTATACCATGCGACGACTCTTTCACTCACTCACATACGTATTGCTTCTCTTGCAGCAACAGTAGCTCATAAGGGTATCGAGATGAATAGCACAAACCTGGGCAGGTATCTTAAGCTCTTCCATCCAGCCCTGGTAACACATCTTAATGTCCATCTGCACCCATAAGGCTGAACACTGAGATTAATTCAAGCTCTACTTTCTATTCTGTTAAAGAGGCAGAGCTTAATTGGCTAACATACCTAAACCTTACGAAGACTGAACTACTCACCAAGTATATAGAGGTGTGGAACTTCAGTCAGCTTTTTAGGCACACAATTCTACCAATTATTCTGTAGAGGAATGGTTAGAGAGCCGTGGACATGGCTGCCCAGCAGGCCTGCTCAATTCCAGCCTTCAGGTTTCAGTGAAAGAACAAAGGGACTGCTAACTAGGAGATAAGGAAGCAGACCAAGGTCAGAGGGAATAAAAGAGCTGTTGAACTAAAAGGATGAGCTAAACAAGTAAGGGGGGCTGTAAGGGTCT